AGTAGCCCCGTCCCTGTAGGAGGAAGTTCCAGGGGCGGTCGTCACATGAATGGTACTGTGGCCGGGATCACCGGGGTTGTCGAGGTGTCCATTCTTGTCCGCGGTGCCGTTATTAGTGTCGGCGACACGGACGTGCTGCTCGTCGCGAGCTGGATCAACCATGACATGTAGTTGAATTGAGCTTTGGTCTTTTAGAGTTGTTCGTTAGACGGGGAAGCTAGTTTCCCACAGACGGCGCCACTGATCTGACCTGATCAGAAATGGATCGTCACGGCTGGCTCCGAGCAGAAAGCTTTTTGAACGAAGTGGGGGGGGGGGGGGGTACCTGCAAGGCACTCCGATGCTGAAGTAAGTAGGAGTACGAGCAGATAATAGCAAGTGTAAGGTTAGAATGATGAATACCTGACCCTCTGGAAACAGAGGGTATTTATAGCCCCCAGCGCTGGGCCAAGGTTCCTTCATTGGGCCGGGCAGGTTTGGCCCAATGGAGGAACTGCCAGATTCTACGTGCGTAGTGGGGACCCGCACGTGGTCCCCTTCCTGGATATTCTGCGTGAAGTGCGGGCGGACGGAGACGCGGTCTTTTCGGAGTATCGTTGGGGGAACAGTGGACTGAGTCTGCCCTAGCTGGGGTGCTCGAGGTAACGTCGAGCTGGACCTCAGAATGTGGTGTGGACCACAGCATGTCGAGCTGGAGGTGTACTGTCGAGCCTGCGACTACGCGTCGGGCACGGTCGTACTCTTTGGTCGGCGTGGCCCTTGTAAGCCCATTTGGACTGGACCTTTGCAATGCTTTTGGGCCTGTCGGGCCCAGTCCAGAACAAAATTAATTAAATAAATCATTTATTACCTAAATAAATATTATTGATTAATTTTCTTAAATATAGAAAAATGGATAGAAAATAACATTATATATATATATATATATATATATATATATATATATATATATATATATATATATATATATATATATATATATATATATATATATATATATATATATATATATATATATATATATATATATATATATATATATATATATATATATATATATATATATATATATATATATATTAATTATTAGAAATAATATGTATTTAGTTTCATCTATTTATGGATTTGATTTATATTGTTAGATCAAAATTGATTTTGAATATTTAATTACCAATTTGAGTATTAATGTATATTTTCATAAACATAAAAAATTATCAAATTATTAATAGTTAGATCACTTTTCTCTTCGAAAAGTAAATATTACACTCCAAATAAAATCAAAAATTTTCTCTGTCTTGTCACTTATAATTTTATGTGACTCAGTCTTATCACTTATAATTTTGTGAGAAAATGTATAGCATTTAATGTAGTGTATACGAAAAAAAAACGTATATTATTCAATGCAATGTGAAAAAACATATAACCTTATGCAGATTATTATTGCTTTAAATCTTAAAAATATAATAAAGATATCAAAATTTTCCTCTCAACTTTCTCCTATTTTTTCATGAGGGTCTATTTTGTTTATTTAAAAAAAATTAATTTTTTATGTTTATAATATTTCAGAAATAAATAAAATTAAAAAATAATATATTTATTTTAAACTTAATTATTTTGGTCTTAATGATTTTAGATATGAAGTATTATAAAACATTAACTTTTAAAATTTAACAATTTTTAGAGCAAAAATATTATTTTATGAAAAACATATACAATAATACTTTTTAACCAAAAATAATTATCCAAAAAAGTAGATTGTAAATTATATTAATTATCTTATTTAAATATATTAAATATATATATATTACTTTTGTTTGTTCTCCTTTCCATTACACATGACTTAGGACATATTACATCATAGGACAAAGAAAAAACCAACATTGGCAACGTCACATATGATTCAAGCCAGGGACTAAAAACTCACGATTTCCGCACCAAAACAGATACAAAATCAAAATAAAATATCACAACACAAACATTCAATCCACAATTAAAACTGCACATTATTACTTTCTATATTATTAGTGCAGACGTAACAATCACGTCTGAAGAAAAAAATAAACTTTCTCACTAATTATAATTTACATAATCAATTACTACTAAATCCATAAGTCACAACATGCAAAATCTTGCATCTCAATTAGAATTAAAACAATCATTTAAAAAACATAAAAAAATCATTAATTATTTTCAATATCAATAAAAATATATATAACACTAAACTATATAGGTCCATGAATCAGATTACAGGTCGATGAATATGAGAAGAAACCCAAGAATTTAAGGTTATAAATATGTGAGGAATCAAAGACGGTTGCATAGTAATGAATGTTAGAACCGTTTCGAGAGTTAGAATATAAACAACTTTTAAATGTAATATGCTTATTCAGTGCAAATTGAAAGGATTGTACTTACACATATGGATTTGAAACTGTAGTTTATAGAGAATGTAAATTGTAACGGTTGCAGTTAAGAAACTTAAATGGATTTCATCAATTATTCGTTCGTTGAATTTTTTCAATTTTGTTTTGAAAAGAAAAAAGTTATTTTTCTCCTATAATAGATTAATCCACCTTTGGTGATCCAAAAAATATCTTATAAAAATAACCTTTCAATTAACCAAAAAATTTATCGTAAATTTTAGCATCATTGCTTTGGATAGATGAAATAAATTTTATGTTTAAAATTAAATTAACTTACAAATTTGATCATTTTGATGATTACTAAAATTTCATAATATTTAATCTATTTAATTATAGATAAAACATATGTTTTACAAAATACATAATTGTCCTTATTATATATATATATATATATATATATATATATATATATATATATATATATATATATATATATATATATATATATATATATATATATATATATATATATATATATATATATATATATATATATATATATATATATATATATATATATATATATATATATATATATATATATATATATATATATATATATATATATATATATATATATATATATATATATATATATATATATATATATATATCACATAAAACTGAATAAATGTCATATAATGATTTAATCAAAGAGTAATCACAATATACACAACAAAAATATAATTATTAAATTTTAAATTTTACTTTTAAAGTTAAAAATAAATTTTAGAGAAAATATTGAACGTTCATATAGAATTACATAATTTAAAAACATAACACTCTTATACTACTACATGTAGTTAGATTTCCTTCGTGCTATATGCAATTCATTAAGAAACTATAATCAATATATGAATCTTAGAATATATAACTCTCACCAACATAAAGATATTAAAATGTATACCTTCTTTCGTGACAAAGTTTAAAGACGATCTTAATCCCCCAATATCCAATTTATTTCTTTTTGATACGTACTTCCTCTTAAATATTTTTTGATGACTATTTTGTAGAGAAAGTGTTATGAAATGAATATAATCCTTTTATTCAATTATAGTTTTTGACTCATTAAATCATCAATATTTATAGATGTTATTCATACTCCTTCGTAATAACACATTTTCGTTATCGATGTTATTCACATTTCTTCATGATAACATCTTTTCATTTTATTTAAATAATATATTTTTACTTTATTTGAATAATTTCCCTTCAATGACACTTATTCATATTATTAAAATAACATAATTTCATGTAAATTAAATAATACATATTCACGTGAGTCATTTTATTTATTTAATTATTAAATATTCTTACACTTATGGATTAAGTGGAAAGTTTATAGGGTTGATTTGTGGTATAAAATGGAAAATAGAAATTTGTAAATTTAATAATAAAAAGAGGTCAGAGATGCGACTAATTTTAGATTTTTCCTTATACTCTTTACTTGACATTGTCAATTAAAAATATATAGTATGTTATTACTCATTTTCAAAATTATTTAAATCTTAAAACTTGAAGAATATTGGAAACAATCTTTTTCGACACTCTATAATACACACTCTTTTATTGAATAAAACAATTGTGATTCATATCACTATAATACACCCTCTTTTATTGAATAAAACAATTGTGATTCATATCACTATATTACTATAAGTGAGACTCATTTTTAAAGTGAAGGATCTACATGTATTTTAACGAATGAGTATTTGAGAGAGTACTAAAAAGAGTATTCCTAAAACTTCTCTTAAATCTTTATAGACTTAGAAGAATCCCTCAATCTCTTGGAAAATTTCAATATAAAGTTGAGCAATTTCAATGATAGTAACATTTAAGTTTCGTACTCCCACCTCTATCTCTAAGTAACATTCAACTAGGATATCTAAAGTTAAGCATTTTGCCTAAATACATTGCACCTGAACAGAGAGAAAGCCCTACGCTTGCGTCAATATTGTTTTGGGTCAGATTTCTCCAACAATTCATTCAAACTTCTCTATATATTTACTTAAAGAATTACACATTAGTTTTTCATTTCATGAAGTAACGTTAAATTCTAAAAAGAAAGAAGTCAAGGATTAAAACTGTCACAAGTGAAAATTAAACATTTGTATTTGTATTGTGCTAAATTAGAATCCTTTCTAATGAGATTTATTGTGTAAACATTCAAATATCTTTTATTTCAAAGTTAATTTCTCAAATGGCTTTGTTGAAGCATGTATCTTTGAGAGGACAAAAATAATTAGTTAAGTACGAATTCTTTGTGATAGAAATGTAATGTATTATCAATTGGACAAATGTGCACCTTAGTGATTATAATCAATTTGGTTATAGTTGAATTGGTCTAGATTGGACCTGAACCACAGGAAAGGTAAAACTCAAACTCAAATTACCATTGCAACAACAAACGATTCCATTGTACCAATTTATTATTAATAATGAAATATGATAAAAGGTGAAATCTAAACATGAAGTATACACATTATTGGAAGGGCTTGAAATCTAAACATCAAGAATACAAATGTTGTTTTATTCTGAAAAATCATGACACAGACAGAGATGGCACAGATGAGCCTTCTAGGAGGAAACTCGGCTCAGTTGTTCTTTGGATGTGCTTTCGAAGATCTTATCAGCACTTGATGCCTCAAAACCCTCCCTCCGATGAAACTCCTTAACCTGTTTCATTAGTTGAAACAAAAAGAATTAGCAATCCTGCAGAAAATTACTTACAATACAATGCAAAGTCAAAACTTGTTACTCAAGAGAAACAATGCTTCTTACCTCTTCGAGAGGTAAATTTTCATACTCTGGCAGCACCAGACGCTCGGCAAATTCAATGTACGAGCATGGAACTGATTCAGTTACACCATCAGCAAATAGGAAAGAAACTGAATCTGCCACGGTTGAACTTTGCTGGAGAAGGCCATCAGGACTCACTGCATATGGAGGAAATATTAAAAGTCATTCACATAATCCTCGATATCAATGTCAACAACATGTGAAACATTGACACGGACACGGACACAGACAAAGACACCAGACACGGAATTGATATGTATATGTAATAAAAAGTACATGTACCTTTCAATACTCCTCCTTCAGAATTCAATTTGAATCCACTCTTCTCAAGAAACTCATTCAGTTTGTTGATATCCTTCAAATGAGTTTTCAGCCGATGAGCTGAAATAGTAACATGGTTAAGTGCATGTCCATTGACTAGTGTCCACGCAGCATACTCACTTTCGCTTTATATAACAAATATCAACAAAGCATAAGAAAACAGTACTCGAAGATCCTCAAATGGTATTTCTAAGTAGAGATATACCTTGCCAATTGTTGAAACTCGGAGTACAAGGGTTTCTCCCATGTTAAATGTCCCAAGGAACTTGCGAGAGCTCCATACTTGTTTCCATTTCCAGCTGATTCAGTATATGTTTTAATGATTTCCTGTATCAAAATTTTCACCTTCTTTTAGTAGAACAAATATTTCGAACGCTGAAGCAACATTGCAATATACAAAAACTACCGATAGATTCTGACATACATGAGTTGAAATTTGTTCTCACTTCTCACCAATATACCTGAGTTTGTGGACTCAACTGATCCACCAATAGCTCTGATATAAAAACTCTTGGCAGCGGCCCCCTAATACCACTTCCACTTCCGGAAAATGAATCAGCAGGAGGTGCGTACCAAAAGGCTCTCAGTTTCTTTCCTGGAAACTTCAACTCATCTCGTTGTGTATAGCCGTTATCCAGGAAAAAACCAGCCAAGGACTCAATTCCATAGCCATTCACCTATAATTAAATTCACAAGATCAGTGTTGTTCAATAGGGACGCTATAACATAGCACAATCTGAATATATCTACTGTACTGCAATATCATATTTAGTACGAAATACTGTCAAATCGATCAACCAAGATAATTATTTGTGTGCGGAAGGAAGTATAGCAAGAAACCGATAGACACCAACTGATATAGAATAAGAAATAGGGAAAATCCCTTTGATTTACAAAATGATATTGCAGAACTTCGAGGGTCTGCACCTTATTGGCCTTTTTCCTATCCAAATCCAAGATAATCATCTATCCATTGCCTTCCCTTATTTATTCTAAATTTAAACACTCTGAATTAATAATATAATAATTATAATAATTACCCACTAACCCTCCTAATAATTAAATAACAATTACAAAATTGAAGAGTCTAACAATACTATTGATAGAAACCAACTGATATATAAAAGAAAATAGGGAAAATCCCATTGATTTACAGAATAATACCGCAGAATTTCGAAGGTCTACATCTCCCAATGCCAAAATAACCCATTTTCTTATTCAATTCCAAGATGATCAACTCCCCAATGTCTTCCCCTATTTATTCTAGACCTAAACACTCTGAATTAATATTATAATAATTCTAATAATTATCCATTAACTCATAATAATTTAATAACAGTTACGAAATTGAAGAGTCTAACCATACTTCCCCTTAAAGATTCACCTTGTCCTCAAGGCGAAAAGAATACACAATAGAAAAAATATATCCTCCTTGATCCCATAACTTAAACATAAAAGTTGTTGTACATGACAGTCCTCTCGTGACCACTTGTTGTGGCCACAGTGGCACCGGTAGTGGAAATTTCTTGTTCCTAGACTTTATCTTAGGAAATTTCTTGTTAGACTTTGCATGTGATGAAATAGCCAACTCTCTGTCACTTCTCTAGACCTTTGCTTCACTAACGGCCATCAACGAATCTGTATTTTTCACTTCATCGCTCTCGCAATCAGATTTGATATCTACTTTAGAAACTTCTTTTTCACTGTATTGTTGGATTTGTGAGTCAATAACTTTACCACCAATCTTTTCTTCAGTTGGTAATGCTATTGGTTCTTGAATTTCACTGCTGCCTTGGATTTCCTGTGTTTCGCTTTCAGACTCCAGTAGACAATCTCAAACTTCTGGTTGGAATTTCTTGAGAATGGCCTTTACAAAATTCCACTAACAAGTATTTGGATGACTCTCCTTCCAAGAGCATCTCCTCTCGATGCAAATGCAACAGTTCACTCAAGCTTCATCTCTTCACTCATTCTTCTTGACCCAAAATATTGCTCAGCCTGGATCAGCCACCAATAGGCCTCCCTTCCATCAAATCTTGGAATCAAATCTGAATAACAAAATTTCCAGCACACCGGCAAAATCTTTTTGGATCAGAACGGCTCTGATACCAGTCGATAGAAACCAACTGATATATAAAAGAAAATAGGGAAAATCCCTTTGATTTACATAATAATACCGCAGAACTTCGAGGGTCTGCGCCTTCCAATGCCAAAATAGCCCATTTTCCTATCCAATTCCAAGATGATCAACTCCCCAATGTCTTTCCCTATTTATTCTAGGCCTAAACACTCTGAATTAATATTATAGTAATTCTAATAATTACCCACTAACTCATAATAATTTAATAACAGTCTAGTAGAAACATACCCCAAATGTCCTGAATGCAATATGATCGTAGGCCAATTTGTGGTTGTCAATAGACTGAACAAGGTCCAATACAGCCTTTGCAGTAGGGTTCCTTTTCAAGTACACTTCCTGAATGCTCTCCAACACATTCCTGAAAAATGCTTCACCACTCTGCATACATAGAAACCACATTAGTACTTTGAGAAACTAAGGATCCAAACAAAAACTTTGAAATCTGTCCCAAATTAAAGTAATTTTAAAATCTTTTGAATACTATTAGCATAGTTGGTCACAGAACCAAGAATCAAATTCCTAATTTTTTCAAAACCTACATGCAAACAATTTTTTGGGACAAATTATCAACCTATCAAAACATAAAAAATTTCCAGAATCATAAGCAAAACATCAAACAAGAAATCTTAAACTAATTATGAAACAGAACAAAAAAAACATCATCTATGAATACTTGATTACAATTCATACTAGTTGAAAACATAATTACATTGTTGAATAAACCATAGTAATGGATGCACTTTGTTGAAAACAAGAATAAATAAAGATAAAGAGTCAAGATACCTTTGCCATACTTGTGTATTGCAAAATGCCAAAAATTCCAATGTTTTCACTTGTCTCTTTATATAAGAGGTATCACTAGACAACTATTCGTTGTAACACACGTGGTACTAATATTGATATTTATCTTGAATGTTCTTAAAATATAAAATACGGAGTAGATAATATATTAAATAGAAATTCTAAAACCTTTAATTTATATAGTTGAAATTAAATAATATAATTCAAATATTTATTTTCATAAAATAATCAAAGATACTCAACTTAATTGAATAGAATAAATAAATATTTCTCTAGTCCTCTTTATCAGTAAAATTTTACTTTTTAAATTTATTAAATAAATAATATATTTAACTTATATATGACTTAGATATAAAAGTTAGGCAATATATAAGTAAAATTAATTTTTTATTTAACCAAAAGAAGTATAATACATGCCTACTATAATTTAATGGAATAAATAATATAATTGAAATATACTAATTGTTCTGGACTAGGCCCGGGTTGGCCCAAGAGCAAGAATGAAGGCCCAATCCAAACAGCTCTATAAGGAGCGCGTCGACCAGAAGCTACAGCCGTGTCCGCCGCTGTCCGCGAACACAACGTCCTCGACCACATACAATCTAGCTCGAGTCCAGCTCGAGCACCCTCCTCGTAGGGCAGACTATGACCGTTACTCCATCACCTGAATTCTGGAAAGACCGCGTCCTCGTCCGTCCGTACTTCTCGCTGAGCATCACCAGGGAGAGGACCACGTGCGGGTCCCCACTACACACGTAGAACCTGATAGTTCTTTTATTGGGCCAGTCCTGGTCGGCCCAATTAAGGGATCTTGGCTCCGCGCTGGGGGCTATAAATACCCTTTATTCCTAGAGGGTCAAGTATTCATTCTCTTACCCATATACACACTTTTTGCCTGCTCGTACTACCTATCACTTTAGCATCGGAGTGCCTTGCAGGTATCCCCCCATCTCGTTCATCTTCAGCTCGGAGCCAGTCGTGACGGTCCAAGTCTGATCTGGTAAGATCAGTGGCGCCGTCTGTGGGAAACTAACTTCCCCGTCTTGCAAAAACTCGAAGACCAAAATTCAACTCAACTATCACCGTCATGGCTGACCAAGTTCGTGATGAACAAAACATCCGCGTCGTCGACACCAACAACGGCCTCGCGGATAAAAATGAACACCCCGATAACGCCGGTAACCCCGGTCATAACACCCTTCTTGTGGGAACTTCCCCCGGGCCCTCAGTCCACCGCGACGGAGTTACTGCATCATCCTCCTCGGTCCCTCTGCCTCTCAAAGAAGACAATGCAACTCCCACAAACTATCGAGCTGCCCAGTTTCAGGAAGTCCCTGTCCCCACCGGGGCGGATGCCACAACCCGAGCGCTGTTCGTGGCGATCAATCAAACGAATTACCTCATCTTCGCCCAAGGGGAAAGATTGAGGGCACTAGAGGACGATCGAAGACATACGAGGAGACACAGGAGGCCCCAAACTCCACCTCCCCGAGTAACAGAGGTACATCTCCCGTCTCCCCCGCGTCGACACTACAGAGATACCTCCCGAAGCCTGTCACCCCGACCCTCGGGGAGACGGCCCCCTTTGGAGAGGCAACCCATCATTGAAGTCGGGGGACGCGGCCACGGCCCCACACGACAAGAAAGAAGACACTCCGGAGACGGGCATGGAAGAATCAGCCAACGAGCACCACGCTCGAGAGATGCCCAGCACGACCAGGACCGTCGGGCTCGACAGTATTACAGGTCCCCATCCCTGTCCCCGGAGCGAAGTGACGAGGACGACCCCCGCGGTCCCCTGTCACAGGCCATCATGGAGGCGCCCATTCCCCCGGGCATGGAGAAGCCTCAACATCTGAAGGAATACGACGGAGTCGCGGACCCGGTCGACCACATAGACGGGTTTGAGGCTATGCTGCACTACCACAACATCGGGGGACCCATCAAATGTCGGCTGTTCCCCACGACCCTCAGAAAGGCAGCAATGGAATGGTATAAAGGCCTCGCTCCGGGATCAATCACCTCGTGGCGAAACCTGAAGAACCAATTCATCAGTTCGTTCACAGCGTCTCGGCGACACCCAAAGACCGAGGCGACTCTCGAGGCCATCATCCAGAGACAGGATGAAACCTTGAGAGAGTTCATCAATCGCTTCAACCGCGAAGCCATACAGGTCCCCTGCGTGGACCACATGAAAAGATATTCGCTGGAGAGGGGGCTCCTCCCCGGCACGAAATTCAGAAAGGTCGTGGGCATCGAGCCACCTAGAACATTTGATGCCCTCCTCGAGAAGGCCCGGGCGTACATGGATTACGAGGAGAGAGAGGCGACCAACAGAGCCCGAGACCCCAGGACTCGCGGGTCCAGCAGCAACCCATGCCAGGAAGCTGCTCCTCTTAGACGAACCGGGTAGAAAAGAAAAGAAGACAGACCCCGAGAAGTCCGAGAGCAAAGAGGACCCTCGGGGCGTTTTACCGAGTACACTCCGCTCACAGCTTCCCGCGAGCGCATTTTGGCGGAGTGTGCCAGCACGGACTTCAAAGACGGCAGCATCAAACGCCCCCGACCCGCTCCCGCCAAGCCCGGAGCAGACAAGAACAAGTATTGTCAGTACCATAAGAGCCATGGTCATCTGACTGAAGATTGCGTCCACCTCAAGGACGCCATCGAAACCCTCATCAAGGGAGGAAGGCTCGCACAATACTGGCGAAACGACGCTCCTCGTCGTGACGCCCGGAAAACAAGAGAATCAGAGGAAGACGCCTGACCATCTGACGAGTCGGTCCCCGTCCAGACCGCCTTCTCCATCACCAGACCCGAGGACTTCAACGTCCCCGAACACCTGCAGGAGCCGCTCACAACACACAACAGGTGGGAATATTCCCCTCCGCCATGGTCATCAATGGCGGAGGATTCAACGACTTGACTATCAATTCGGCTAAAAGGAAGCTGGATGAGCTGGTCGACACGGCATCTCCGCAAACAGTGACATTTGAAAGGGTAAAAGGTAGGTCGAAACCCATCACCTTCTACCTGGAAGAGCTCCTCGGGGGAGCTCCCAACGCAGTCATCCCCTTGCTGATAAGGGAAGGAATGGCCAACTTCGATGTGCATCGCATCCTCGTCGATAAAGGAAGTTCCGTCGACGTAATGTACAGCCAGTTGTTCTGAACTCTGCAGCTGGACGACTCACATCTCTCGCCGTATGTAGGGTTGGACTTACAAGGATTCAACGGCTCGACCTCCAAGCCTTGGGGATACGTCGAGCTCATGGTTACCTTCGGCAAAGGCACAACGACAAGGCAGGTTAAAGTACGCTTCCTCGTCATTGACTGCCCGTCCCTCTATAACTGCATCCTGGGGAGACCAACACTGGCAGAACTGACAGCGGTGCCCTCCACCGTCCACCTAAAGATGAAGTTCTACACCAAAAGGGCACGGGTAGCTACCATCCAGGGCGACCTAGCCGCTGCTCGAAGGTGTTTCAACTCCGTGTCTAAGGGGCACGACACTGTCGACGTCAGGACAAGGCCCGCCAAAAGACCGACGACGACACGACAGGAGCCCGACAAGCCAGAGCTCGCCAAGGAGGAAGCCCAGAAAGCTCCACCAAAGGTCGACTCTATAGCTCTGGATGCTCGCTTCGATCAGGATGAACCTCCCAACAACGAGCAAATTCCCCTCCGACCAATACCGGATGGGGACTTTGAGCTTGTCCTCCTCGGCGCAGACCCGAGCAAAGGAGTAAAGATTGGCATCGACCTCCCCGACCTGGCAAGGAAGCAAATAAAAGCCTGCTTGCGCGAGAATGCTGACCTGTTCGCCTGGAGCGCCGCGGAGATGCCTGGACTCGACCCTGAGGTCGCCTGTCACCGTCTCGCCATAGATCCTGCCGCTAAGGCCGTAGTACAACGTAGGCGTAGGCAGTCTCCGGAGAAAACGGAGGCTGCTGAAAAAGCTGTAAAAGACCTCCTAGAGGCAAATTTTATTTCTGAAGCCCGGTATTCAACCTGGCTGTCGAACGTTGTACTTGTTAAAAAGAATAATGGAAAATGGAGGATGTGTGTTGACTATACCGATCTCAACCGGGCTTGCCCGAAAGATGCTTTCCCTTTACCGAACATAGACATGCTGGTCGACAACTTGGCCGGCTACAAAACATTGTCGTTCATGGATGCCTACTCGGGCTATAACCAAATCCCGATGGCCTTGGGCGACAAACATTGCACGGCTTTCATGACCAACTCGGGCAATTATTACTACAACGTAATGCCCTTTGGACTAAAAAACGTCGGGGCAACTTACCAACGTATGATGAACATGGTTTTCCACAAGCAGATTGGAGACATGCTCGAGGTCTACATGGACGACATGATCGTCAAATCTCGAGCAGAAACCGATCATGCAGCACACCTCAAGGCAGTCTTCGCCCAAGCAAGACAATGTAAGATGAGATTCAACCCCGAAAAATGCACGTTCGGAGTCAAGGCGGGGAAATTCCTCGGATTCTACCTAACAGAGCGAGGAATTGAAGCCAACCCCGACAAATGTCGAGCGTTCTCCGACCTACCAACCCCGACATCGAAGAAATCAATACAAGTCATGAATGGAATGCTCACGTCATTATCCCGCTTCGTCGCGAGGTCCGCTCAGCACGCCCTCCCCTTCTTTAGACTCCTTCGCAAAGAAGCAGCCTTCGAATGGACCGAGGAGTGTGAACGGGCACTACGCCACCTAAAGAAAAGTCTATCTCAACCACCCGTGCTATCTCGACCAGCCGACAGGGAGCCATTATTCCTATACTTGGCCGTCTCAAATGAAGCCGTCAGCGCGACTCTCATCCGCGAAACCATCGACGGGCAGAAACCCATTTACTTCACGAGCAAAGCCCTACAAGGACCCGAAAGCAGGTACCAACAGATAGAAAAGGTAGCTCTAGCCCTCGTCAATGCAGCGAGGAAACCCAGACACTATTTTCTGGCCCACACGGT